GTCAGAATTCTGAGAATAAAGTCAGAATTCTGAGAATAAAGTCAGAATTCTGAGATTAAAGTCAGAACTCTGAGGAAGAAATTTCATAATTCTGAGCTTAAAATCAGAATTCTGAGATTAAGGTCAGCATTCTAAGAAGAAATGTCAGAATTCTGAGATTAGAGTCAGAATTCTGAGATTAAAGTCAGAATTCTGAAAAAAAAAGTCAGAATTCTGAGATTAAAGTAAGAATTCTGAGATTAAGGTCAGCATTCTAAGAAGAAATGTCAGAATTCTGAGGTTAAAGTCAGCATTCTAAGAAAAAATGTCAGAATTCTGAGATTAGAGTCAGAATTCTGAGATTAAAGTCAGCATTTTGAGAAAAAAAAGTCAGAATTCTGAGATTAAAGTCAGCATTTTGAGAAAAAAAAAGTCAGAATTCTGAGATTAAAGTCAGCATTTTGAGAGAAAAAAAAGTCAGAATTCTGAGATTAAGGTCAGTACTCTGAGAAAAAAGTCAGAATTTTGTCCCATATTAAACTGAAATAATATTTAAAAATCAGTTAACTTTTTTTTTTCCTGTGGCCCTAATACTCTTCCCTATATATGGGTCACTAATTGATCAATGCAGAAACTGCAGGACCCCTGCAATGAGAGCATGCAGAACAACCCACAGCAGCCCTATCTGGGTCAGTTAACCAAAAACTCCTCGCCCCTCAGTGCCCCCACCCCTGCTGTGTCTAAAGCTGTTTTAATGCCATTACCCTGGAGGGGGTATGGCCGCCCTGCCCAGCATGGTTTGGATTAAACCTAGACACACCAATAGGGGTCATTCACAGGCTTATCCAACAGGACAGCTGTATGTCTGCTGCTTTGTGCAGACAAATACATTTCCAGGCCTTCCTCATTCATCCTCTGTTTATCCTCCCCCGCCTCTCAGACCGTGGCCTTAACCGTCTACGCCTGCCTGCGGTCGTCCTCCGACGTCGGCCTGCGCGGCCTCTGAGCTGGTTCCCCTCCTCATTCTCCTCGCCGTCCCCCGCCATTGCGTCCAGCTGTGGCCCTCACAGGGCGCGGTCGCTGGCTCTCACCTGACAGGTCCCTGGCCTCAGGACGACAGCCAGCAACAGCACGTTCCCTACATGAGGGACAAAGCGACGCAGGTGAGTCTGATGCTGGGGGGATTTTCTGACATATACGGCGTGACAACTGCCAACTTCACCTTACTTTATAGGGGGTTTCTGTTTGTTAAAGTGGGCGGTGGCAGTATTATAATGTGGGGAGGGGCTTCCTCTGATCAGATTGCTTTGGAAGGATGGAGGGGGCTTCTAATCAGGCATTCCTGGAAGAGAATAGCTGTAGATTTAGCCGGTTTTAGAACATTTCTATAATTTAGCGCAAATGTCTGTTGCTGCTCTAAGTCTGTCTGTCAATAAACCCAGCGAGGTTCAGAGGGGTTGCAGACTGTTGCATCATCAAGCTGCGTGGCTCGTCACCAGGTGACAGACTTTGAACGAGACTCCTGATCAAAGAGAACCTGCAGGATCTTCCTGCAGCAGCACATCAAAACACTGCAAAGGACAAACAGCTATTTCTCATTAGCTTGTTCTAGTTTTTCCTGTTTGATTTTCAAGCAAGTGTCACAGAAAAAAATAAATAAATAGCTCTAACTGGTGTCTGCATGCATCTCAGACCCCCAGGGCCTGGGCAGATGAGAGGAGGAGGGGCTCTCACAAACGCTCGGCCTCCTGTGGGAGCACCGACCAACTCAAGGAGGTCTGTGTCCCACTTTCCCGATCTATGTTCAGATTGTGTGCACAATAACAACGTCGATCTTAAATAACTCCTTTTCTAAAAACCTCTCCAGATTGCCAAATTGCGTCAGCAGCTTCAGCGCAGCAAACGCAGCAGCCGCCACCGGAGGGACAAGGATCGCAAGTCGCCGTTCAATGGCAGCCACACCATCATTCAGTCACAGGTGATCATGCAGTGAGCGTACCCCTATATGCTCTTTACTTATTAAAGTATGTTTTATAAAAATATGTAGTCATACACATTTATAATTTATTTTATTTGCATGATATTTGATCAAAAAGTCATTCAACATATCTGTAGTTGTTCTGATTCATGTTTGAAACAGAATTTCTCATAAAATAAGACAATAAAGATCCTTGATCAAATCAAAATACTGTAACCTGTAGCCTGTGAAAACCTCACTTAGCTAAGATATTTCTGCTAAAATCACCTGCATTTTCATCATTTTAGGGGGCCTTGATGAAGTTTCAATTCCAAAAAAAGTCAGTTTGATCAGAGAGTTAACCCTGTAATGCCAAATGTATCATATTTGATACATACGGTTTCTGAAATGTTTTGCGTCTGACACCTTTTGCATAATTTAATGGTAAAAACTTTGCTCCAAATCCTATTGTGCACAATCAGATATACCTGATAACAGAGGGCAGAAGACTACACAAAAAATAATCTTGACTTATCGCATAGTAATAAATTATTAATATAAAAATTCTTTTTACATATTTTGTTAAAAGGCCAAATAAGGACTTCAAACCAAAAAAAAAGTAATTTTCTGTTTTGCTTTATTCTTGGATCGGGCTTTAAAGGGTTAAGTCAAAAGTTGCTTTTTCAGTACAAATGTGTGCAATATTATGTCAATATTTTTGCTAATTTTGAAAATGCAAAGTTTACTAAATTGTTGCATTTGCGTTAATTAACAAATACTATTAAAATTGCATGTGAATACATTTGTTGACATGATAACTCTGCAAGCAACATGGCAGCTGTAGATGTAAACAAATGAGATATATCTATATTTCAGCCACAGCTCTAGGGGGCGCCATGCTCCTCCAGCTACTTCCTGTCTTCCTCTTTGTTTTTGTTTTTCTACAAAGCAGTAAGATCCTGTTGTAAATTTGTTTTCATTGCATTTTTACGAAACATAAGAGTTTCCATACAACTGCTAATAAGAAAAACATGTTATTGAAAATTTTATATTAAGCAAATTTATTTTCAAAATTACACTTTGATGGTTAATGGAAATGACGTTAAGGTAAAAGTTGAGAATTTTACTAAATCCAGAAATCAACCCAAATATTTGATGTTTTTAATGAATTATGCCCCCTAGTGTTCACCACCATAATTGTACAAGATTAAAATCTTTCAAGAAGCCCCCCCCACTTCTGGGTTATCATAATTTTTATAATACAAACTGGAAGTTGGTCCATTAAACTGTATTATTTAGATTTTTTTGGTTAAATTCTTTGATTGCAAAACTTAACATACTTTAATTTCAGTCAGTGTTTAATTTGGAGAGATAATTAAATGCTGTCATTCTGTTTTAGCTTGATCTATATTTTACAAATTAAGTTTAATCAAAGGTGAAAAAGAAAAGGGTTTGCAGAAGTTATAGAGGAAACCTACGATCTGTGAGCTTCATACTAGACCACATATGTCAAAGTCCATGGCTGGATGATATTTAATTACCGTTAGAACCGGCCCACAGGCCACGGCCGCTTGTGCGCGCTGCTGTGACTACGCGGGCTACCATTGCATTGTGGGAAGGAGGGAGGGGCGGAGTTGATCCTGCAGGTGATGACGGACAGCTGCAGGATCAGCTCCGCCCCTCCCTCCATCCAGGCTCCTTTAATTTTGGCTTCAATCAGTCTCTGCTAACACCTGCGTTAGCTTGGATTGTTGGATTGTTAAATTGTTAAAGGGGGGAATCAAAACCAAAACAATCCAGACATAATTTATAATACATGCGCTTTCATTTATGTATTTATCTTAATAAGTTTTGCAGTGGCGATTGTTTGCCAAACATCTAATTAAAGTTCCCATTAAGCCACTTTTAAGGCACTGGGGTGAATTTTCTATACGCAGGCAAAAAGTAGTTTCAGTGTCCAGTCTTGATGATGGTTCTGGATGGTTTATTTTCTATTTTTGCCAACAATTAAATAGTGCAAACGTTTCTTTTGTCCTACCTCTGGTAAAAACCATAAAGGCCCCAAACCCAAAATGCCTGCTTGTCCTTTTCCAGGCCCCTACACTAATAGAAAGTGGACTGATCCACATCACTTCCTGTCAAAAAATAAATAAAATAAATAATAAAAATGATAAAACAAAGATAAATAGAATCCACAATTATTAACCTGCAAATTAACTCTCTAAATAATACAAAAAATATACATTTGGGAACAAATTAACACAATTAAATAGGATAAAGAAATAAAGAATAAATAGCTCCAACAGGTTTATTAATATAATAAAAGTTTATTAATATAATAAAAGTTTATTAATAATATTGATATTAATATTTTGTTTTAAAAAAATTGTCCAATAGGTAATGTTCATTTAAATATGTTTTAATAAACATTTAACCGGTCCGGCCCTCGGCTTGTAGCAAATTTCTTTTTTTGGCCCTCGGTGTATTTGATTTTTAACTCCCTGAACTAGACCTAATGTATAACCTTTGGTTTAAACTCTCCTATAAGGACTAACTAATCCTAACAACGGTTGATGTTATTACATTTAAGAACATTTTATTTTTCTGATGCACACTTCCTGCATTGATTGTAAAAATGGCGGCACCTGAATCCAGAATGGTGTTGGATGTTTGGAGAGGTTACTGAGAGAGTGATGGGGACTCATAATGACTGATATTTGCTGGTTTGGATGTAGTTTATTAGAGCTGCTTTCTAGAAACATTTTTCTATGTATTTTGCAGTCGCCTATGCCCAAGACCATTCTTATACCAATCCCTATATCCAAATCCTCGGCTCCTCGCTTCCGAAACAGCGTGGAGGGCCTGAACCAGGAGATTGAACGCATCATCATCCGGGACACCCCCGAGAAGGAGGAGACCATTGTGGTGAGTTCTCCTCAGCTAAAGCGGCTCAGAGAACGTTTGACCTTTCGTCGAAGGGTTAAGCCGCAGCAGCAGCTCTGTTATTGTGACCTATTTACGCAGCCGCAGGATGTCCCCGATGGCCACCGCGCACCCCCGCCGGTCCCCCCTCAGCGCAGCAGCAGTACCCGCAGCATCGACACGCAGACTCCATCGGGCGGTGGCCTGAGTGGTAACCATAGCAACTGCAGCAGCCGCCCAGACTCCATCTCCCCCTCCTACCTCAGCGTCCTCAACGACACGGCGGGAGGCAGCCCCTACGAGGACAAAGGTGAGCCGTCAAACGCCAACCCTTCGCTTCGTCTCCCATCTATGTCTGTTGACGTGTGCATCTGATTCTCCTCGCCACCTCAGAGCTAAGCCCGTGCTCCCCACTTCCCAAGTACGCCGCCTCTCCCAGACCCAACAACAGCTACATGTTCAAGAGGGAACCGCCAGAGGGCTGCGAGAAGGTCCGAGTGTCTGAGGAGACCATGTGAGTAGAGAGATCAGCATCCTTCCACATATGGAGGAGTAATTACAGAACTGAGCGATAAACGCCTTTATGTGTTTCCAGGCCCAAACCCCTGGAGGAGATCCCCCCCTTCCTGTGTCCCGACCGCAACAAGGTCAACTTCATCCCCAACAGCGGTTCCGCCTTCTGCCTCGTCAGCATCCTCAAGCCCCTGCTTCCCGCCCCGGACCGCAACTTTCGCCCGGGGGTGGGCCTCCGCAGCCTGTCCCCGTCCCTGGTGCCTCTGTCCACCCAGCCCTGTCTCCTGGAGGAGCCTGAGAGCTTCTGACTGGCCCCTTGGCCTCGACCTCAACCCCCCCTCCATTGGTTAAATCAGAAAACATTATGGAATTGATCCTTTTGCTCCTGAAAAAAACAAACAAAAAAAAGCCTTTAGCATGCCAGCTAAGCTCTCTCTGATGTCCTTCTTTTGTTGAAAAGCTCCTCCCACTGCCTCCTCCTCTGACGTGGGACTCCTGCCTCCCTGAGCAGGTGTTCGTAGCTCACATTTCACCGCTTCCTTCGACCCTCAGCACCGCTTCTGTTCCTGTTCTTCTGGGAGGAAACGGCCGTAAGGACAGACTTTTCTCTTTGATTTCATCCTATTATACCATGGCGCCTTTCCGCGGACATATCTCTTTTTCTATTTATGGTTGTTTGTCTTGATAAGAATTTTATGCCTTCCATTATAAAGAAGAAAAAAAAAAAAAAAGGAGCCGCTGGTTTCCATGGAGACCACCAGATGGACCACAGAGGCTAACTTTGGTGCTGCCAGATGTATCGTAGCATACCTTGGAGGGATGTGAGAAGTTCAAAAATGTGCCTGATGTTTTAGACCGCAGTTTCCCCCGAACCGTCATAATGCTGTGATCCTCGTTGATCTTTAGCGTAATTATGATCATTGCACTATGAAGGCCATAGATACAAGCAGTAAAAGGCAGATAAAGTACAAACAGGATATCTTTAAAACACTCCTAGACCAAATCTGGATATCTGTTTGCTATTATTTTATCGCCTGTGGGGTGTATCTATGGGAAACCCAGGCCAGGGCTATGATGTTTGACGCGTGTTCAACCTGTGTCTGCTTGCCCCTCCCCACGCCCAGCCTTCCTATGCGCCAGCCTTTGCTCACAGCGTCCATTTTCCTCTCCACCACCATCACCCTCCCCTTATTTTCTCTATCTTTTACCTTCTTTGTTGAGCTCCTCCTGTCTTGGTCAGCTTGTATTGCTTTTCAATTAAGGGTTCTGCACACGGAGAGGCTCGTCAGCCTATGGTTCTATACTAGACCATTCGATTAAACTGCTAATCTCAGAACCATAAAGAAAACAAGTGTGGCTAAGCAGTGAAAATTAAACAAAAAAGAACAAAAAACTCATTATTACAGCAGAAATAAGCTTCAAGGTTTAACGGTCAGTGTTATCGGGTGGAATAACGAAAACATTGTTTGGTGTGGTTCTAAGCTAGCTACTTTCAGTATTCATGCAGAGTTTAAATAATGTTAAGGAACAACAAAAGGTAAGATTTTAAAAGAAACTTTTTTCTTGAAAAATGAATTTTCATGCTGCAAGAGTGAGAGAGAGCAAGACTTTAAGCAGATAACAGTAAGGCTATATAGAATGTTAGAGCTGTTATTATTAAACATGCAAGGTTTTAAAATTGTTGACAGTTTTTTAATGAAAGAGTTAAGTTACAGGGTTACATTATCTGAAAAATATGCTTATGTTAGCTGTTAGCCATGCTAACAGCTAACATAAGGAACACAGAGGCTTGGAAATCTCTACTACTTTTTCTGCTTTGAAATTGAAAAAGTTTGTTTCAAGCTGCTTCTAATCAAAATAATTAATGGTGTTTTGGTTAGAAACTGATTTTGCATGAGGTTATATTTTATGTATTATATATATCTGTGAAATCAGACACCATTGAGTGGGATTTTTTCAACAAGATCTACTTTTAGTGTGTTTTATTTCACAATTTTAGAAACGACAACTGCATATTGTCTCTTAATTATGGTAGAAAACAAAAACTCTACTTAGATATTCCTACATGCTTTGTTTCGTCCTCACAGGTTTCCATTAACCCCGCTCCATTTAAATCCGCAGTTGTTTTGGGAAAACTTTTAGCCTAGCATTAAAAAAAATTAAAAAACAATCCAGTGGACTTGGTTTCCAAGTTTGAAGACGTTTCGCTTCCCATCCGGGAAGCCTTTTCGATTCAAAATGTCAGAATTAGAATTGAGTTTAAGGCGTTTTGGAGTGGACTAAAACAAAGCATTTATTTTTGGCTTTAAAAACCTGCAAATTGAACCAGAAGAACGGCTTCTCCCCTAAGGAATGGGGAGTTGTTTTGTGTTCTATTTTTCTGTTTCCTGCAATAACCAAATACTGGTCTATGCCTCTGAAAGGGGGGTCGTTAGGGGCCATTGTTGGCATGGCTTCCCAAACCAATTTACACGTTTTCTAAGCCAAGTTTTTGGGCTACTATATAAAGCTTTGAAATCAATGCTAATTCTGACATTTTGAATGGAAAAAGCTTCCTGGATGGGAAGTAAAATGTATTCAAACTTGGAAACCAAGTCCACTGGATTGTTTTTTGTTATATTTTTGGAATGACTATGACCTGGATGGCTGAGAATCTTCACCAGCAATAGCCAAGCACTACTTTAGCCATCCTCGTGTTAAACAGCAGGTCTTTACGCTGTTGAAATCTGAACTTAAAAACGAGGTAGGCTAATCTGATCACTAATTCGATGAAAGATTATATAACCTGTCAATGACAAAAATAAGTTACTAAATGGAAAACTGCTCACATATATTGCTGAGTAGTGAGACTGCTGACATCCGACGTTAAAATGACAAAAATGAGAGTTATCGGAGAAACGTCTTTTTGACAAGGATTATAGAAAAGTAGGGTAGTGATGCAAAAACTTCCATTCCTTAAAAATTGTGGAAAAAATAAACTAAAATGCAAATGGAAGCATGACACAATTGATATCTAGGGATTCATTTCTGAGAAATTTGCAACATTTTTATTTTAGTAGAGACAGAATAATCAAAATGAACAGAAATAAACGCTTTACTTAAAGTTTAGTGCAGCCATATCAGAGTTATACTGAAATAAATTAATTTATTGGACGACATCTTAATTTATTAAAGTGATATTTGTCACTAAGAATATTTACAGATCGACGGCCTCTCCGTGCCAGAACCCCACCCTCCTGTATTTTTGTAGATGTCACAAATACTTAACGGTGCCTGCTACAGTGGGATAGGAATGTACTGGACTTGTAAATACAGAGGCACTGTGTTTGTATTACTGGCTGACAAGAGGCATGTATTCGAATGAGGCAACAAGTGTAACGTGTAACTTCTCCTCAGCCGAGTACTGTGAATTACAACTTGACTCATTATTGTGAATAATAACGTATTTATTTATCGGACAGGAGTGGATTTGGGTCTTCAGAGATTTCGATGGCAAGAACTGACATCTCAGGTCGTAGAGAATAGGACACAAAGATATATGCTAACATAAAGAGAGCAAAACAACCGCTTTCTATGTAGCGTCACACCGCGGAAATCCTGACTGACTTTTCATTTGTAGCAGAGTAGATGTAGAAAAGTGTGGATGTTATTTGTCCGACAATCCGGCTTGGAGCAACAGACATGATGATGATCATGTTTTTTTTGATAAAAGAAGGAAGCTACTTAATAATGATTAAAAAAAAAAAAAATCTACTGAAACACAACCAAAATGATGACCACCCAAAAATAAAATTTTAATCTGAATCTTTTTTTTCATGTCAGTGTGGATAAAACAGCATTTCTGGAAATAAGGCTTTGTTCCTTTGTTTGTCTGTCCGGCTGATTGGGAACCAAACTGCCAAGTTTTCATCTTTTAAACTCTTGAGTGAAATAAAACGCATAGTTAAAATAAACGAGTCGCCTCTTCTTAATTTGAGAAATACATTCTTTTTATTTGCAGTGTGAAAAGTATAGATTTACATTTGATGTGACAGAAATACTAACATCCTCTTAGCAAAGTTGCATTAGAAGGTGAAAGAATTGAAACCATAGATGTGTCTTCTACAGGGGCTGGGATAGCTGGAGGTTTGTTAGATTTTACAGACAAAATTTCTCACAAAATATTCCTTAAAAATCAAATTTTGCTTAACAATTTGCACATTTAAGCATTGCTGTCAGAAATATACGGAAGAGGATTAGGGCCACTGAAAAAAATAAAAAAAACGTGTTTTTTTTTTTGTTTTTTTCCCGGAAGAGGATGAGGGCCACTGAAAAAAAGAAAAAAAAGTTAACTGTTTTTGTTTTGTTTTGTTTTTTTTTACGGAAGAGGATGAGGGCCACTGAAAAAAAAATTTAAAAAGTGAACTGAATTTTTTTCTTTTATTTCAGTTTAATATGGGAAAAAAGTCAGAGTTTTAAGATTAAAATCAGAATTCTGATTTATAAGTCAGAATTTTAAGATTTAAGTCAGAATTCTGACTTGTTTCCCCACATTAAACTGAAATAAAACTTAAAAATATTAACTTTTTTTTATTATTATTTTCAGTGGTGCTAATCCTCTGTTGTAGAAATAAAATTTAAAAAATAAGTTTACTTTAACTTTTTCCACTGGCACTAATCCTCTTCCATACAAATAAACCCACACATGAAGAGAAATCATTTTTTTGTTTTTGTTTACAGTTCTCAAGGGTTAATCCCATAAAACATGGATGCTCACACAGCACATAAAGCTAAAATAGACAATATTTTAATTTTAAAGTGATTTTCTTGTATCTTACAACCTTAGAAATGTGATCTTTCTTATTCTGCTGCATTAGTCAGTTATTTGAAAATAAAAATAACTAAATAAAATTTCAGTCTGACGATTTATAGTTTAAAGTTAAGCTCAGGCCTAATCAGCCAGACTGCATCATGAAGAGCACAATAAATGGCTCAGTTAGCATTGCATCTGATATTGCGGTTAATAATACAGTTAGATTAAAAGAAGTTTATTACTGAATCTTCTATTTTTTGACCAAATAGCCATTACCAGTAAAGTTATTTTACGTTTTAGATCCTCATGGAAAGGCTACATTAGTCTCAATATGCAGATCCGTCTCCATCAGTCCATCCAACATCTATACATATAGCTCTATTAATCCTTCCATAAAAGGATAAGAACGGACATCTTTGGAAAATGTTTAAAACCCAGAAATCTCATGTAAACGCGTAAATTATAAAGTATGAGTTGTAATGAACAGAAGTTTACAGACGAATCTTGTTTGTTCTTTTCATCTTTAGCTGATGTTTCTGACTGGACGGCTGGTACTTTCTGTTTTAATTTCAACATTTCACTAATTTTTAGTTTCCAGATGGACTCTTCTACCACAACAAACAAAACCCGAAATGAATCTGCTAAATATAGGAAAAGTGAAAAAAATCTAGTTTCTAAAACTGGATCTATCCCTTTGCCACCTGCTACCCTTTAAATAAACAACTTAGTATCAATTCATTTTTTCCACCCAATTATTTCCATCACACATCTAGATAATTGGACATAAAAATGCTCATATCTCATGTATAATTGTTAAAAACTTTAAAATGTCATCTTATTTGCCTGTTTTGGTTCTGGTCTCAGTTTGGGCCTATTAATATGCAAGAATATATTCATTGCATATAATTCATTTAACTGTATTTTATTGTCAAAGACAAGAAAATAACTCAATATTGTTGTTTAAAGTGGGATCGAAACATCAGATATGACAGAGAAGCAACCTTCTGTAGCCATTGGTTCATTTCACAACCAAAGAAAACAACAATTGCATCAACAAAGTAAACTCAACAGCAAAAGGACCTCCTCTCCACAGACTAATTTTAATAGTGTTGGAATATTAGTATCCATGGTTTGTAACACTTGCTGCTGTGCATTGCCTATCAGCTGGCTGAAACAAAGCTAAAACAACATACCGGGTTAACTTTGAAAATGTACTTGTTTAGGCATACTTTAGCTAGCAAACAAGCAGCAGCGTTACTGCAGGA